CGGAAGGAGGCTAGAGGAGCAGGACGGAGCCGGAAGCGCTCCTCAGACCCGCTCTCCCCGGCACGTCCCTGGGACCCCGGCCCTGACCACCTTCCTCCCGCCTCACCTCGGGCCGAGCCCGCGGCGGGGAGCAGCTTCCACATGACCGGCCTCCGCGTCGGGACGCTGTGCGGCCGCTCGCAGCTGACAGACACTTGCCGCCGCAGCGCCTGCGAACTCGCGGGCTCCGTGACGTGCGCGCTCCCGGGACCGCGCCTGCGCGGGAAAAGTGAGCGGAGGGCGGCGGGCGCCTGGTCGCCACCTGGTGGCCGGGAGGGAACTGCGCAGTCTACGGGCGTCGGCTGCGTGAAAGGTCCTGGAAGCACGGATCCCGGTTTAAGGTGTTCGCCAGTATTAGATTATCTGCATTTTTCTGATTGTGAATGGATGGAAATAGTTTTAACAACTACAAAGCAACGTAAAGAAACTTCATACCTAAAGACACTAACGTATTAACCACTTATGTAATAACATGCCTTTGCAATTTCTTAAATTGCAGTCATTCCTTTGTATGGATCCTAATGATGGTGATAATGATGATGAAGATAAGGATTTCACCCCGTCAACTTACTATTTTTACTCTTCTCCAAGTACAAATCAACCTCTCCTACTTCTCTGTTTCATAATGTCGCGCTCTCATCTTAATCAGGGGTTGTATTAGTTTCACTTCCACTTGGACCTGAATGTTGCAGGCGCTCCTAACTCTCCAGGAGCCCCTAACCCTTCACCACCCTAACCCTTCACCACCCCCCTTCGCCCACCATCCCACATCCTGCACCGGACAAAGTGAACACCCTACAGCACACTTCTGGTCATAGAAGTTCTGGTTTTCAGGAGCATTCTGTAATGTGACAAAATGCTCTAGTTATTACGTCTGTGTCTGTTGGCACAACGGTAGGCAGTAAGCAAATGGGCTAAAATAGAAAGACCCAAAAGAGACCCACACAAATAAATTAATTTAATTTTCAAAAGTAATAATACAGAGCAATGATGGAAAGGTTTTGTTTTGTTTTCCAATAATGATACTGGGGGCATACTGGTTAACACTACAGAAGAAACGAAGACAGACCCTTCCCACACATACAAAAAATGGATCATAAATCTAAATATGACAGTAAAATAAATATTTTAGAAGAAAATACGATCAAGAATTAGCAAATCTTTCTGAAACAACACAAAAGAACTATGCCTTGGGCCGCAGAACCCTAAATTTCACTGACTTGGTGGACCCAGACACGGTAGGGGCTTTCCCGTTGCTTTTCTGGAGGAGTCACGCGCTCCCCACGGCCTCCAGCACGCGTGCGGCCTCCCGTGAGTCCAGCCTGCGCCGCACAGCGCCCACCGGAGAAGGGGGGCCAGGCCGCGCCCCGCGGTACAACGAGAGCTGGAGGCTGACGTCGACACAGCGCCCCCCGGGGACACCGCCCGGCCGCCAGCGCAGCCCCCGGGACGCGGCAGAGCGAGCGGGA